TGTGAAGTTAGCTACTTAATTCCTCGTGAGATCGCAAAGCTTTCATCTGGATTACCAGTCTGTTGATAACACACCACATTTGGGCATGGGACACACTGACTTTAAAGTTTTCGAGAATATTTGTAGCTCAGGTTGTGGATGAGGTTGTAGACCTGCTCGCTAAGCAGGTGGGGTTGTTTGCAAATGTTTCATCACCCTGCTGGGTAACATCGTCAGTGCGCCTCCAGTGAAGCGTGAGTGTTCTGTCCCGCTTGTTATTTATATGCCTTGGTTTGCTGAGGTGGTTGATATTACTTCCGGTTTTGTTTCTCAGTTGTTTGTACACAGGATCTAATTCAATGTGTTTGTTGGAGTTCCGGTTGGAATACCAGGCCTCCAGGAATTCCCTGGCATGTCTCTGTTTGGCTTGCATGATTATTGATGTGTTTTCCCATTGAATTCGTGTCCCTTGCTGTCTGTGTATGATGAGACAAGTGAGAATTGGTCAGGAATCTTGGTGGCTAGTTGGAGTTTATGTATCCATATAGTCAATTTTCTTCCGGTCTGGCCTATGTAGTGTTTCTCACAGTCCTTGCATGGTATTTTGTATATTACCCCAGTTTTGGGGATGGGATCCTTTACATTTGTCAGTAGGTGTCATAGGGTGCTTGTTGATTTGTGGGCTACTCCTGATGCCTAAGGGTCTGAGTCATCTTGTTGTCATCTCTGAAATGTCCTTGATCTATGGTAGGGTGATTAGTGAGTCTGGTTGTGTTGTGTCTTCCTGTTGTGGTCTGTCTCGGAGGTAACGGTAGATTGTGCTTTTCAGGTATCCATTCCTTTTTAAGACTCCGTATGGGTGCTCCTGTTCTGCTTTATGTCGTTCCAGTTTGCTGCAATGTGTTGTGGCTCATTTAAATAGTGTCCTGATGAAGCTGTGTTTGTGGGTGTTGTGGTGGTTGCTAGTGTAATTGAGTATCTGGTCCATATGTATGGTCTTTCTATGTTTGCTAATCTGGAGTTCCCCGTTGTTTTTGCGTTCCACTATTATGTCAAGGAAGTGTAGTCAGTTATTGTTCTCTTCTTTCATGAATTTTATCCGAGTGAGGATGTTGTTTATGTGTTGGTGGGTTTCTTCTAGCTTTGTGTGATTAATAATCACAAAGGTGTCATCTACATATCGGACCCAAAGTTTGGGTTGTATAGTGAGGACCACTGTCCTTTGCATTACTGCTTCTGTAATCAGTACTGATATTGGGGATCCCATTGGTGTTCCATTGATTTGTTTGTATATGTTGTCGTTGAAAGTGAAGTGGGTTGTGAGGCAGAGATCTAGTAGTTTCATGGTGGTGTCCTTATTGATGTTATTGATGTCCTGGGTTGTCCGCATACTTGGTTCGTCCAACAGTGTAGCAATTGTTTCTTTGACTAGGTCGATGTTTATGGATGTAAATAGTGCTGTTACGACAAAGGACATCATCATCTCGTTCTCTTCTATCCTGCTGTCCTTGATGATGTTGAGGAATTCTCTGGATGAGTGGATGGAGAGGGTAGTGTTGTCCACTAAGTATTTCAATTTCTGTTGTAGTTCTTTGGCAAGTCTATATGCTGGTGTGCCTGGTAGTGAGACAATGGGTCTGAGGGGGACCCCTGGTTTGTGTGCCTTGGGGAGTCTGTAGAATCGGGGTGTGTTGGATCCCCCGGCTTCATTTTTTGGTAGTCCATCTTGTTGATGTCTCCTGAGTTGTGTAATTTCTTCAGGGTCATTGTAATCCGGTTCCCTAACTGCAGTATCGAGTCTATTGCCATCTATTTGTAAGTGTCAGTATCTGCTAGTAGTGCGTTAGCTTTCTTGATCTCTTGGGTTCTATTGAGGATTACTGTCATGCGTCCTTTGTCTGATGGTAAGATTACAATGTTCCTGTTTTTTCTTGAGTCTTTCCAGGGCTTTCCTCTCTTCTGTGTTGAATGTGTTCCACTTTCCTTTTTTGTTCAGTGTTGGGACTATCGTCTGTCTGATGGTCTGTTGTACTTCTTCCGATATTCCAACCTGGTGTTCCAACCAGAACTCCATCAACAAACACATTGAATTAGACCCTATGTACAAACCACTGAGAAACAGAACCAATACCAACCACCCCAGCAAACCGAGGCATATAAATGAAGAGTGGGACAGAACACTGACGCTTCACTGGAGGCACACTGACGATGTTACCGAGCAGGGTGATGAAACGTTTGTAATCAAACTCACCAACTTGATGAGCATGTCTACAACCTCACTCACTGGCTTCTCTAAACCACCTTCTTTCTACACTTGAGCCTTGTTTGAGATAGTTGATATGCCTTACAAGAAGCCTTGTAAACTGCACAAAATGCTGAGGTCCAGCACATCCAGGTAAAGATTGAAGTTGAAGCCCTTCCAGAACTGAAGTTACTGTTGGGGTGTGCAACAGATATTGACAAATCTCAGCCTTTATATTTGTATTCGTAAGTGGGAGTTGTGTGAACATGTTGGTCCAAGTGAGCATATCTGGATTTGGATACAGCACAATATAATCCCTGTTTGGACTTTTTCACTAGGCAAACTGACAGCATTTTGAAATATTGCTACTATCATATAGCAGAGCAATCTTGTAACGTGATGTCTAGTTTGGCTATCCGGTGTTGGCCTTCTGAAAGACTGATTGGCAGAGTGAGGTCATAGAGTCTTACAATTTGGAAACAGGCCCGACAGCCCAACTCATCCATGCTGACCAGGTTTCCAATTCTGAACTAGTCCCATTTGTCTGTGTGTAGTCCATATCCCTCTAAATCTTACTTATCCATGCCCAGTCCAAATGTCCTTTAAATGTTGTAATTGTAAACACCTCTACCACTTCCTCTGGCAGCTCATTCTATATATGCACCACCCTCTTTGTGAAAAAGGTGCCCCTCAGTTCTTTTTAAATCTTTCCCCTCTCACCTTAAACCTATACCCTCTAGTTTTGGACTCCCCTACCTTGGCTACTCACTTTTTCTATGCCGCTCATGATCTTACAAACTTCTATAAGGCCACCCCTCAGCCCCCTACTCTCCAGGGAAAAGTCCCAGTCTATGAGGCCTCTCCTTATAACTCAAACCTCCCCGTCTTAGTAACGTACTTGTAAATTTTTTTGTATCCTTTCCAGTCTGATATTGTCCATCCTATAGCAGGGGGACCAGAATTGTACACCGTACTTCACGTGGCCTCACCCGTGTCTTGAACAGCCATAACATGATGTCCAAACACCTCTACTCAATGCCCTGACCGATGAAGGCAAGGTGCAGAAATCTTAGCGAATTGATTAATGCGATTTGTTTGAAACATGTGGTCACAATGGTATTTCTGGTCTCCCCTTATACCTATGGAGCAGATGACTATATTAATCATGCCCATTTGAGTGTTGCCTATTGTCTTTTGAGAGGGACCATCACTAGAGATATCAGCAGTTGGGTTGATGAGGTAGTATTGATCTTCTATGTTGCATACATTCCAGCCTTACTGAAGTCTGTTACTGAGTTCATCTCAACAGTGTGAATATTACAGCAGCTTCATAGAACAGGCATGAATTTAAACACCATCTTGGTGGCTTTCTCAAGCCTGTGTGTAGGGCAAGGTCTGTCTTGTTCTGACAGTTTCCATCTCATGTCGCATAATGCAGGCAGGATCATTTGGGACAGCACTAGAAAAAAACTTGTTTCAAATGGACATGAGCATCTCTGACATTGTCTTTAATGGCAATGTTTGGCTTTATGTTGATGTTCTTCATTTAGCAACTACAGAACCAAGAGGTAAAGCTGTATTCCACAGCAGGGTTGCTATAATATTTCAGCAAATTTCAAAACAAAGTCATCCTGTTTTATACTTCTTGGCCACTGGTGATGAAATGAAGTTGATGGGTAGTACCCTTTTCTCAATATTTTGGGTGGGGAGCATGAGTCATGGAAGTTTGAAATAAGATCTCAATGATGCAAATAATTTGGTTAGTCACTAAACCACAGAGAAATTAAATGTAAAATTAAGTAACTAAAGATATGTAATATATTTCATATTGACAGCAACCATGAATAGTCTTCTGTTCACACTTAGTGAGATAGTGGTGTTGTCACTGAACTAAGGGCCATGACTAATGACTAGGTTTTAATTTAAAATCAATTAACAAATATTGAGTATTAAAGCTTGTCTCACCAACAGTGACCAATTTTCACTGATTATTGTAAAAACCCACTTAGTTCACTAATACCTTTCAGAAAGCTTTCCAACCTCACCCAGACTGGTTCACAAGAAATTCCAAATCCCTGACAGCATTGGTGATGTATTACTAAAGTAGCTTAAACAAGCCAACTCTCGGTTCAAGTGAAATTAAGGAAAGATAACAAATATTGGCCTTGCTATTAACGCTACATTCCATGAAAGGATAAAGCAAAAATTCTTGAAGGGGGCGGAAAGTGGTGAGAATTCCAAAAATTCTGAGACCAGTGATTTTAATAGAGATGGGGTGAGGATTTGGTATCCAATTTTCCCTTTGGGGTTGGCCAGTCATTTAAATGTATTAGCGAGGCAGGAATAATATCAAGGTTTTGGGGCAGGAGAGCCACCTGGACTAAGCTTGTCTTGGGAAACCCAATGCCTAGGGAAGTAAGAAAGGTTATAAATGGAATATTTTATTATTACCTGCAGGCCAAGAGGAGCAAGGAATCTTGCCCACTGCTGGCCACCACAGTTTCAGTTTGCCAGCAAACTAATCTGCTCTCAAATTATCCTCTGAAATCGACTAGCAAGCCTGAATTATCAATAAAGGAGGCCCACTAGAAGCTTCTGACAATTAGAAATAAGCAATAAATGCTGGTCTTGCCAATGACATGTACATCTCAAAAATGAATTTAAGAAGAAACATTTATCTCTTCACCTTGCCATAAACATAGGGACAATCCAATTGTTCAGGCACAGACAGAATTTCCACTTCCTGTTAACAAGGTGCACAAACACACTGCAAAGTCTGTTTAAACTGTCAATAAGCTTTATTCTTAAATCTGTTATCAAGATGTATATTCTACAGTGTTCCTCAAATATACAAACATATACAGTTTAGTGTGCGATCCAGAACTGTAAAGACAGTGCAATCCATTTCCGAAATTATTGTGTAACTGCCCTATGAGGGAAATGAAATAAACTACCTTCACAACTTCTGAAGCTATTAGTATACAGTAGCTGTCACTGAGAAAAATGGAAAAAAAATTCAAAATAGAAATACAATTATTGCACATTTTACATCACTCCAAACTGACAAACAAATTGTTGCTATTGTATTTGGTTTACAAACATAAGACCAGTTTGGTCAATTTAAAAGAAGTCAAATTCCTATACTGTAGTCAGGAATTCCCAGCATGAATGTGCTCTGATCACAACAATCACCCACAAATTTATTGTGTTCATCTTTCAGAAGATAATTACTTTTCAAGCAGGCTTCAAACTCCATCCGGAAATTCACCGATTTAATATTGTTTGTGACTGACTGCTGGATCAAAACCCATTTTTAAAAATAAACAACAGCAATTTCATAGGTTCCAGAGTACCCATTTGCTGTGATATGCAAATAATAATAAACTCTAATTAAAATAATGTACAATGTTACAGGGACATTGAGGGAATATTTCTGTTGGGAATGTATTCTTGTTTATTTCCTATACAGAAGAATACACCCAATCCCCATGTCTTAAGTCACAGCTTTCTTAAAATTGAGAGCAAGCATAACGTTTTAGAATTTTAATCATAAGGAAATTGAAATAATTTTGGCCTATCATTAGTAATAGTGACACCAGTAAGTACTATCAAATTAAGAACTTCATAATATTATATTGGTCAATATTATTGACCCAACACAGTTGAATCTGGGTAAATAATTAGGCAAACAATTTGAATTACCAATTCAATGATTTTTTTTAGCTTCAGAGAACAACTCTTATTCATTGACATTCAGTTTGTTCTTTCTGAATTTAAATTAAAATACTTCATTGGCTAAATTAATTGGGATTTCAATTGAAATGAAGGGTATCTTTGGTAGTCTGTTTTGTCCTTAATGGGCTTTGCATGTAAATTAGTGAATTGGAAAGCATGGATCATTTACTGGAGATGGTTTATAGATGAAAAAAATACATGGGCCATTTGGTGATGTGGAAAAAAAAATACACATTCAGTTGTGTGTAAGAGCACTTCTGGAAATTAAAAGAGATAGAAACCATAGGAGACAAGAAAGAAGCTGCCAGTTTACATCTATTATAAACTCTTGGCAAATATCTTTACACTTGAGATCTGAAGGATTTACAAGTTGATACTCAACCTGTTTGACCGATTTATGAAGACATCTTCCATGGCCGTCAAGTCCTGAATTGAGACTTGAACTCAAAGCTTCAGAGGTAGATTCACTGTGCCATCCCATGATTACACTCTTTTGAAGTACAACTTAAAATAATCCAATCAAACCAACTTTACCCAAACTAAAGGGCACTATAACAATAAAATCAAATATCTAAAGCAAACTTAAATATTCAATTAAAAACTTGGTTTTCAGTAGAGATAATGCACTCTAGCCTCCATGGAGTGCCATTGGCATTGGGTATTCCCTCTCCACGGACACCTAGGCATGGATGTAGGCATGAAAGAGGGGCAGTCAGTTGAGACCTGTAAAACGCATTGCCTGGGCCTGTTAATGGCCATCTAGGTCAGGCTCAGGACCAGATCTATAAGAAGGTCCTTTGGTCTGCTCATTCCCCTCCACTGGTGACCAAAGAATAGGAGTGCAGAGCTGAAGTGCAACTAAAAATTAAGCAGCAGCCTTCAGCAAAAATGAAACAGGATCTGTGATTTTGTGCAATTCACATAGATGTGGAACATGTACACCTCAAGGCCAGAGAAAACACAAGCAGCTTGAGAGTCTGGGAAACATCTGGGTATCCTACAGCTTACAACAGTTGTGTTCAACACACTTCAAACCAAATCCCCAATGAGCAGGAGTTTTTATGTGTACACAGGATGAACACCCAGCCACATATTTCTTTAAATGCCATCACGGGATCAATTATTGTGCTTAATGGGAAAGGAATCAGGAGAATGGAATGCTGCACCAGGCATTTGTTCACTTTATGTCAACTCCTTTAACATTACAAAGCTGCTAAATTTACAACAATTTATCACGTAGAATATTTATGAACATACAATGTTAGATTCTCTTCAGCTTGCATTCTTTGTGAAGTGCTGCAAAGTACTCTATGTTGGAGAACTTTTTTAACTTTGTTTGAATTCAAGTTTTGAATTTTCTTTCAGTTCCTTTTCAGACCATCCTGGTTTCACATGTCATTCCTTAATCACTCTAGGCATCTCACTATCATATACCACAAATTACAAAAGATTAGTAAAGATTAGCACTCAGTTATTATCCCTTCCCTGCAGGCCTGCATTGTCTGCAGATTGGAGTGTATACAGGATGAGTTGTAACCAGATTATTCACCTTACGATTTCCTACAGAATTTCATGGAACATACAAAATAGTAACTGACCAATTGGCTCAAACAGCCCATGTTAACCATTTACTTTCTGCTTGAGCCTTCTCCCATTCTTCCAGATCGGATGCTATCAGAATTAACCTCCATTCCTTTTACCCTCATTTGTTTACCTAGCTTCCCCTTTGATGAATCTTTGCTATTCGCCTTAACCATTCCCTCTGGCAGTAAATATCTTGTTCTCACTGCTGTAAAGAGATTTCTTCTGAATTATATGTTTGACATTTTGATAAATATCTTACATTTATGACCTCAAGTTTTGCCCTTCTGCACATGTGAAACTTTAAAGCTCTCTGTCTACACCAACAAAAACATCCATGCGTTAAAAGCTTGTTGTTAGGTCACCCCTCAGCCTTCATTTTTTAAAACAAGCTAATCAATCCTTTCCTCACAAGTATAACTTTGTATTTCTGATATCATTTTTGTAAATATATTTTGCAGCCTCCTCAGTCCTTTGAATAATATGTTTACCAGTAGTCCAAGTGGAGGTGTAATCTTGATACAAGGAGAACATATCTTCTCTACATTTCAATTCTGTCCCTCTAAAAATTAACTCCAGTTCTTAGTTTGACTTCTTTGCAATAGTCTTGTTAATCTGTGTCATTTGTTTTAGTGAGATTCAGATTTGTGCTCCCAGATTCCCTTGTTTCTTTACCTACTTAGGTTTTTGTTTTCCAAGTATGTGACTTACTTTTTTGTACTAAAATGGAATATCTTACATTCTTGTATTATAATTCATTTTCCACTCCATCTCCTCTTTTCTCTAACTTTTTAAAGTACGTTTTATCATGCAATGCTTACAGTTCTGAATTATTGAAGCATGGTGACAAATATCCAATTACATTTATTTCTTCATAATATTATTGCCTCTTGTTTCTCTGTTTCATTATGGACACAGTATGAAATGGCATACAGATAGTTTAACTCAGTTTAATTTTAACTTTCTGCTCTATAACATGTTATTCACTGACCACATATGTTTTCCTTTAGTTTAATCTATGCCATGGTTTCCTTTCCTTTCTCATTTATATTTAGGTGGCTTCCAATTCTTATAGGTCCCTTCCCCGTCTCACTAATGTAAAGTATTTAAAAAAAACTTTGGCTTTTATGTTAGTTTGTAGTTAATTACCTTTTAGTCCATTTAATAGTTTGGTTTTGTTATATTTTCTCCTGCAGACATTAGTTTGCAGGTATGAAAGGCTAAAAGAAGCATCCTTTTCCAACACCCCCCCCTAATAATTGCTTCAAATTTCTACTTAAACTAAATTCTATGCTTTCCAGTCCACCTGCTTAACATTGCGATGGATGTTCATTCTGTGCTACAATGCATCAGACACAAAGGACATCCCACTGTTATCCTGCAGGAAATTACATTTGCACCATTTGAATTCATAAGTTAAGACTAATGATAGCTTCTTCTAAATTGACAATGTAAAGTTCCATGATCTGAAATGGTTCCAAAAAAGTATAGCTACCAGTTGTCTCAGAATCAATCTGAGTTCTCCCCCCTCGAGCAATTCTATTAGCAATGGCTACAAAGCACTGTTTGTCCCATTTAGATCACAATTTACTAACATTTGCTATGTCATCTGAGGAACTTTGTGAGCTCCAAGGTAAAATTAGATTTACATGATAATAATCTATTAGTGCCAATGCAAAACAATGCAATCAAGTCCTTTGTTTTGGCGCAACAATATTTTCAGCCAGTAGTGCAATAGGGACAGTGTATTGTCATCTGCAGTTCCTATGGCACAGCTCCACTGAAGGTAATGATTGGAAGACAGAGGAGTGAGTAGAACTTTGATGACTGCTGCTGCATCTGAAAAGTGGTATGTTTCCTCAACTTCTGAGGCAGCCTGTTCTCAGGCTTATAACACACAGACACCTCACACCTATCGAAGACAAAATAATATAATTACAAGCTTTTTTTAATATCAAGGGATCAATACTGGGAAAAACAGAAACATTTTGTACAAATCAGTTTAGGCAGTAATCATTGCTCACCTATTTTAAATCAATAAGCTACAAATTTTAGCCTCTATGATATATATAAACTATAATAGTTTTCCCAAAGACTATATTGCCTCCTTAGAATGTTTTACTGAACGTATATCAGTTTTAAAATAGTTTAAATTGTCACATGGTTTTGGAGTGGGATACATAACACGTGTAAAAATTATGATAAATATACATTCCACTACGAGGAAACCTGGAAGTGAGGCAATCCATCGCAACGGACCCCAGAGTTTAAAAACCAGGTGGGAAAACACACCGACGCTTCATCAGATGCTGCACTGAGGATGTTACCAAGCACGGGAACAAAACATCTGTGGAACAACAAACCAGCTCGGCAAGCCAACCAACCTCAACACCCACAACCCGAGCTACAGGTCTACTCCAAAACCTTAGATTATGATAAATTTTACATTTTTGGATACACCATAGCACCTTCATTGCTTATATGTTTATAATTGTCTCTTATTTCCTTATTGTTGCATAATGTTGGTTTATTTAAAAAAGAGATAGCGAAGCAGATTTTAAAATTGAATGCATGCCTACTGAGATATTCAGAGGAAATGCCATTGTAACAATTGCTGTTATATTTCAATGATTTGCGCTCATTGGAATGAGGAAGGTTCACTTGACCCGAAACGTTAAGTCTGATTTCTCTCTCCACAAATGCTGCCCCAAACCTGATGAGTTTTTCCAGCAATTTCTGTTTTTGTTTCTGATTTACAGCATCCACAGTTCTTTTGGTTTTTATGAAGGTTGTGATTGCTTTGGAGGGGGTGCATAGGAGATTCACCAGAATGCTGCCTGGGATGGAAAATTTAACTGATGAGGAAAGGTTGCATAGGCTTGGGTTGTTGGAGCAAAGACTAAGGGAGCGATCTGATTGAGGTGTGCAAGATTGAGGGGTATGGACAGAATGGAAAAGAGCAGCTGCTCCCCTTAGTCGAAAGGTTAGTCACAAGAGGACCTGGGTTTTATGAAAAGGACAGGAGGTTTAGGGGGAATGTGAGGAAAAGCTTTTTTTAACCCAGAGGTTGGTACCATTTTGGAATGCGCTGCCTGGGAGGGTGGTAGAGGCGAATTGCCTCACATCCTTTAAAAAGTACCTGGCTGAGCACTTGGCACATCATAACATTCAAGGCTATGGGCCAAGTGCTGGCAACTAGGATTAGGTGGAATGTCAGGTGTTTCTCACTTGTCGATGCAGACTCGATGGGCCAAAAGGCCTGTTCTGCACTGCACAAGTCTATCGATAACTCAGTTGGCTAGATGGTTTGCGATGCTCTGCTTCTCAACCTCTCCCCTCATCTGAGACCTGGTGACCATCACCCATTGACCCTGTGTTATGGGAGAGCAGCTTTATGATCTGAACTATGGCAACTTTACCTTTTTCCTTTATATAGCACTGCACCATCCTTAAGCTAGATAACAATATTCACATGCCGAACGGAAAGATTATGGGCAAAAAGTAGATATAGTTTATTGATCTGCACAAAATGTAATGGCTTGCATGTATAACACTTACTAGGGAGTTTTCAGACAATTGGACTTCATTGAATAAGGACCATACAAGCTGATAATGGGCCAGACTCAGTGGCTGGCTCTCTTGACACCGATCCAGAAAGGTATGGGTTCAAATCTTACCCCAGCTCTTGAACATTTAAATGAGATTGATTCTGTAGTTCAGTATTGAGAGATTTTACATTACCAGAGGTATTGTTGGCTGGTTATGGTGTAAACACAGTTTCGAAAAGATATTAGAAACCCCACTGCAGGGAGTTCTCAACTATCCTAGTTGGTACTGTTTCCTCAATCAGCACCACACAAAACTAACTCATCTTATTGTGTTTGTGGGATCTTGCTGCTTGTAAAATGGCAATCAGTTGCTTCCACAACATTAGAAAGACTACTAAAATTAATTAATTTTAATTAATTGAAATACTTGGAGACGTTTCTGAGGAACATGTTTGAGTGATGCATACATACAAAATTTTAAAATGCATTACAGGAAGACCATTGTTTCTGCAGTTGTATCTTTTCATTTTGAAATACATTTGCAAAAGATGCAATAAATGGTGAAAAATGTGAAGTAATTCTCCTACCTTGTTACGCTCTGAAGAACCTTTTGCTCATCCTGGTCCAGACAAACAGCAAATGTGGTATTATTAACCCCTATTATCTGTACCTTGTCAATCTTGATTTTAGTCACGCTTATTTGCTAGAACAACAGAAAGAGATTGACATTAAGTATGTTGGTTTGTCAAACATTCTTCGTCATGTGTACTCAGCATTAAATGTTATGCTCAAAGTTCATTTCCTTTCCAATAAGAGCACATCTTTTCCACTCCCAAAGTCTCCTCCTAGAGGTTACTTTTGATTTGGAGGGCTACTTTTTCATTCTTACTAACTCCTTTATTGGTTGATGCAGTTATGTAGTAACATTACGTTCATATTTGTGTTGACATATGGGTATTTGGGCTCACACAGAAGCTGCATTGGAAGAATTCATCCATATTCTCATAATTAGCAATCCTCCAATAAACATAAAGCTACGATGCATAAGGAATGTACTGATTTCCTTGACACCAAAGTACTTGAACTAACACAAGTCAACAGACATAAGTTAACAATAAAATAACTGATACACACTTCAACACCCAAGACCATCACTCTAAACACATCTTCCAGATTGATGGGGGTCACATCTAATAAGTTTCCATCATGCATTCACAGAGCCAGAATATGTTAACCAGGCAGTTACTATCCTTTATACTGCAATCTCAGATTTAAATTGAACAATTGACACAGTGTTCATTACAATAGCATCCACTGCACTCATATAATCCTGAGCAACTTTAAGCTAGAGATTCCACAATCATTTGCAAGTAATTACTTCAGTGATTTCAAGTTTCCCTGTTTCCTAATTAGCTGTGTTACTTTGTTGATGGGCTTGAAATTTTTCACACTTGCTTGCAGTCCGCCTTCCCTCACCTGCCCCCTCTCCATTTAGCCTTCCTCTTTTTACCACTCTCACAGCTTCCCTCAGTCTCAAGCCTCTGTTGCAGCTCTACTCACTAGTCAGCCTATCAGCAGCTAGGACTGAGAGAATCAGTCTGTGATTGGAAGTATAGCCCCTTACCTTTCCCTTCTATTTAACTTACAGGGGCAATTTTTCTCTGATTTGTCAGCCCAAGGTTGAATTTTCCTAGGCATTTGGGGACTTCAGGGATGGATTCATCACCCATTTACTTTGAGCATTATTTACAAAACTATTTTTGGACTGACTGACCAACATAAACTTGAATGCTGGTCGTTTACGTGAATCATGTTTATTCTAATTGAGGGAAGATTTTGGCCTTTGAGTTATATACAATGTGAGACACCATTGTTTTTGTCTACTGCCCATCCAGTGTTAATTGACACCAAATAAGAGAGCAACATGTTGGTCCTATGTTTGGGAAGGAAGTATGAACTATATCAATACACAACACCTCCTTCTGGAAGTGCGAGTAAATTAGAGAAAAAGATAAATGTAGGGATCTGAGTACTTTCACCTCAAATATCTGAGTTCAAATTCAGTTCAAGCAGACAAGATGAAATATTTCTGCTCACTTCAGAGATACATTCCAAAAATGTAAGTCCTGACTATGTAGAGGCCATTCAGATAGAATTCACCAAAAGCTGCAATTGCATTTTGTCAGTTGGAACACAATATTGAAGTGAAAGAAGAGTAAAAGGGTCTCGGCCCGAAATGTCAGTTTTCCTGCTCCTCTGATGCTGCTTGGCCTGCTGTGTTCATCCAGCACTACACCTTGTTATCTCAGATTCTCCAGCATCTGCAGTTCCTACTATCTCTATTCCAACCTCTGGTTGCATCAGAGATAGCTCTACACCTTGTTATCTCTGGTTGCATCGTTCTCTGGAAACAGCCAGTTCTAAAAGGCATCCTTTCTTTGTAATATTTCCCCACGATGTATTCTTAGGAGAACTCCATAACACTCATTGTAATAACAAACAATTTAAAGACTCCAGACAAAGCATTTACAGCACTGAAATAGGCCATACAATTCAACAAAGCGAAGCGAATATTCCTGGCCAACACAAACTGAATTCCACCCTTTTTCATCTAACACTATTAAAATATTCCTCCTTTTCATTTGTTTCTTGACTTCAGTAATTAAGACAGATTTGAAGGATACAATCTTCAATTTCTAAATTCAAAATTCAGCTGTGAACTCATGACAGCATGAGTGCTTGTAAAATTTAAGAATGACCCTGAAAACTAAAACTGCAAATTACACTCAGCATCAACAACTGGAAAAAGGAGGCATATTCCCTGATCTTTGGAATGTCACACCATGAATATACAGCAACAGATTGTCAGTGATATGAATCAACAAGACACGTACTGAGAAATCACTACTGGCCGATGTCCTCAAAATAAAGAAAACGGTTACTGTATGCTTTTCGGGGGTGTTGGGCTCAGCAGAACAGGATGCCAGTACTGAGGTAATGAAAATGAAAACCAAAACATGCGTTTCTGGTTGCGGCAGTCACAGACAAAACGATATGCAACACAAGTTGCAAACTCACAGCTGACCGCTAAAGCCAATTGACACTGTGGGCACACAATCAACTACTAACAGAGACAGTTGCAACTAAAACCACAGTACTTCAGTCTCTGCCAGTAATCCAAATAGTTAAATATATATTAGCATTGAGCATCAATTAGATTTGACAATCAACTCATGTACTGGTCATTTCAAAGTAGTTTCATTAGTCAAATTAAAGATGACTTTAAAGGGACAATTTTGCCTTGTTGTGCTCTGTCTGGGAGCTTTATTCAATGTGACCACATATTGCAATTTTTTTTTGACGATTGAGAGGGCAAAATGAGGGGCAATTGTTTTTACACAGAGAGTGGTTCATGTGTGGCATAAACTTCCAGAGGAAGTGGTGATTGTAGGTACAGTTACAATGTTTAAAAGACATTTCGATAAGTACATGAATAAGAAACATTTGGAGGGAAATGGGCCAAGTCCAGGCAGGTGTGACTAGTTTAGTTTGGGTTTGACTGGTTGGACCAAAGAGTCTGTTTCCATGCTGTATGACGCGATGGTTGGATAAACTTCTGGAAAGGGATGATGAACAATCAATGGTTGTGATTCATATGGGAACCAATGACATAGGGAGGTGCAGCTTGGAAGACTTGCAGGATTAGGTTCAACAGTTAGGGAGTAGGTTGAAATGCAGGACCTCTATGGCAGTATCTCAGAAATACCACCTATACCACGAGCTTCACCAGTTAGGCAAAGGCAGATCAGGGAGGTGAGTTCAAAAGTTGAGGGATAGTGTATAAGGGTGGGGTTTAGATTTTTGGGACATTGGGATCACTTTTGGAAAAGGAGAAAGCTGTTCAGAAGAGATGGGCTTCACTTGAGCCGAAATGGAAGTCCTGGTTGAGAGAGTAATAGTGTTATGGGGATGAATTTAAACTTAAGGGAGGGGGTTTGGGTTGACTAATGGGGCCTAATTTTGGAAGGACCGGGGAGGGCAAAAGAGAGAAGATGGAGAACTGTGAAAAGGAAGTGAGAGGAGACTTCAGTGTTGACAGTGAACAAAAAAATGGTTGTTTCCCAAAGGGCAAAAACGAGATAAGGACAGTTTAAATAGTATGTATGTAAATGCATAAAGTATTGTGAACAAAATTGGGGAACTAGAAGCAGACATTGCTGTAGGAGGATATGAGATAGTAGCATCAGCAGAAATGAGGCTCAAGCCGGAACAGGACTGGATACTTAACGTCCAGGGTTATTAGGTTTTTAGTAGAAACAGGGTGGGTAAAAAGGGAGGAGGTATAGCAGTCTTGGACAAAGATGGTATCATAGCTGTTGATTGAGATGCATTTCCTGAATTAGAATCTACATAGTTGGAAGTGAGAAACAGGAAGGGGACAGTTTATTTATTACAATCCTCCAAATAGTGCGGAGGAAGTAGAAGAGAGCATTTGTAGGAAGATTATGGAAACCTGCAGGACAAGTAGGGTTGTGATTGTTGGTGATTTCAATTACCCTAGAGAAAACTGAGAAAAAGGTAGAGTGTGGGGCACAGAAGGAGAAAAAATCCTACAGTGTGTACTGGAGAACACCTCCAGTCCTTCAAGGGAGGATAATGTGGTAGATCTGGTCCTAGGAAATGATGCAAGTGGAGAACGTCAGAGTGGGGAACATTTCAGAAATAGCGACCATAATACAATAAGGTTCAATATTAAGTTGGCAAAGGATAAAAATCGGTCAAGGATTAAGATCTCAGACTGAAAACAGGCAGATTTAGGGGCTTAAAGTTGAACTGGAACAGGTTGATTGGAAACTCATTTTGGTGGATGAAAATTGAGAGACTTTCAAAAGAGAGATGAATAGGGTGAAAACTAGTACATACCTATGGGAAATAAATAGGGTTATCCAAAGCAAGAGTGCCCTGGGTGACTAAGGATATTGATGAGAAAATAAGAAAAAGAAAGCACATGAAACATATTGGAATAATAATAGCAATAGAAATCTGGAAGTGTATCTCATTTGCAGGAGAGAGGCTAAGGCTGGAATAAGGAAGGCTAGGAGGAAGCATGAGGAAAGGATGGCCAGCTGTGCTAAAACAATAATAAAATGTTCTTCAATCATATTAATGGCAAAGGATAGAGTGGGGCCCATAAGGAACAAGCACAGTAAACTGCTTGCTGAAGAAAAGGGAATGGCAGAGGTATTAAATAAGTACTTTTACTTCTGTTTTGACCAAATTAGAAGATGGTGACAATGGCGTGGTTGAAAACATGGGTGTTGAGTGACTGGGCAGTACAGTGATAGATAAAGAAGAGGAGCTAAAAAGGTTGGCAGCACTCCAGGTGGAGAAGTTGCCAGGTCCGGATGGGATGTATCCTAGATTGCTGAGAGAGGTAAGGGAGCAATTTGTGGAGCCAGTGACAAAAATTTTCCAGGCCTCAACATTTATTCCCAGGGGACTGAAGGATTGCAAATGTGATGCCATTGTTTAAGAAAGGGGCAAAGGATAACCCAGGAAACTACAGACCTGTCAGTTTGACATCAACAGCGGTAAAACTAATGGAGGTCATAATATGGGATAAGGTAAATATACATAGAAAAAATATAAGTTAATACTAGACTTAACATGGTTTTGTCGAGGGCAGGTCATGCCGGTCAAATTTAACTGAGTTCTTTGAGGTGACACGGCAGTGGATGAAGGTAGTGCTGTGGATGTTGTATACTTGGACTTTCAGAAAGCATTTGAGGTGCTACATGACAGGTTAATTAGCAAATTAGAAATATTTGGGATTGATGGGTCCTTGGTAGCATGGATTAGAAGTTGGCTAAAACATAGGAAACAGAGGGTAGGTACAGAATGGCATTTCTCAGATTAGAGACGAGTTGAAACTGGTGTGCCCAGGGATCAGTGTTGGGACCATTGCTTTTGCTAATTTATATAAATGATTTGGAGATGGGTGTTGAGGGCAACATCTCTAAATTTGCGAATGATACTAAGCTAGGAAGAACAGTGAATTTTGGGGATAACACTGAGCAACTTCAGAGGGACATCGACAGGTTGGCAAATGGCCAATGAGTTTCAATGCAGAGAAACGTGAAGAAATGTATTTTGGTAGAAGAAACATGGGAAGGTCAACATAGGCTCAGTGGTACAACTGAGGATTAGATAGGGTGGACAGTGGGAGCCTGTTTCCTCGGATGGTGATGGCTAGCACGAGGGGACATAGCTTTAAATTGAGGGGTGATAGATATAGGACAGATGTCAGAGGCAGGTTCTTTACTCAGAGAGTAGTAAGGGCGTGGAATGCCCTGCCTGCAAAAGTAGTAGACTCGCCCACTTTAAGGGCATTTAAATGGTCATTGGATAAACATATGGATGATAATGGAATAGTGTAGGTTAGATGGGCTTCAGATTGGTTTCACAGATCGGCGCAACATCGAGGGCCGAAGGGCCTGTACTGCGCTGTAATGTTCTATGTTCTAACTTTGAGGGCAATACAGGCGCAGAGGGACCTTGGGATTCAAATGCATAATTCTCTGTAGCTGGCCTTCAGAAAGTTGTTGAAACAATTGTTGACAAAGCTTCTTGGATCCTTGTGTTTATAAATAGATGCACAGGGTATAAAAACAAGGAAGTGATACTACATGCCTACATATCATTAGTCAGACACTTCTGGCGTATTGTGTTCAGTTCTGGACACCTTATTTGAGGAAGCATGTTAAAACTTTGAAGAGATTTACAAGAATGATACCAGGAACAAGGGATTTTAGATACAAGGAATGATTAGAAATTGGGCTTATTCTCCTTGGAGCAGAGAAGATTAAAAGGGGACATTGTTGAGCAGTTCAAAATTATAAACAATTTTGACAGGGTAAAGAAGTTTAATTTGTTTCCATTAGTTGGTCACCATTTCAAGACTGTCAGCAAGAGAGCTAGAAGTGAGATAAGGAGAAACTTCTTTACTCAGAGAGTTGTTAGGATTTAGAATGCACAATCTGGGAGATTACCTAGATTACCTAGAATCCCTATAGTGCAGAAGCAGGCCATTGGGCCCATCGAGTCTGCACCAATCCTCAGAAAAGCATCCCGCCTGGACCCACTGCCTAATCCTATCCCTGTAACCCTGCATTTCCCATGGCTAATCCATCTGGCCTGCACATCCCTTGACACTATGAGCAATTTAGCATGGCCAATCCACCTAATCTGCACATCTTTGAACTGTGGGAGGAAACCAGAGGGCCCAGAGGAAACCCACGCACCCACGCAGAATGTGCAAACTCCACATAGACAGTCACCTGAGGCTGGATTCAAACCCAGGTCCCTGGCACTGTGATGCAGCAATGCTAACCACTGTGCCACCCCAAATGATGGAGGTGGATTCCATAGAAGGTTTCAAAAAAGAGCTGGATATCTATTTGAAAGTGATGAATTGAGGGAGCGACAGAGTTAGGACCGGACAGTAGGACTAGCTGGGTAGCTCTTTCAACAGCCATTCCAGACATGACAGGCCAAATGGCCTCCTTCCGTACTGTAAAATTCTATGATTCTCTGATTCTATTTATGACCCCAGTGTGTGAATGGACTTCACCAGGAGCACAACCATGTCAAATTACTCTGCATCAAGCTTTTAGCCTTGAAACAAGTGTACTCACTTGATTATAACCTTTCTTAGATTTAGAGTTCTGTCGTTTCACCACCTCAGTCATCGAAAGATGAAGGTATTCTGTGTTGAATTCTGAAAAATGTAATATTATGATTAAAATGCACTCAGAAGATCTAGATTTATATTTTAGAACACACCAGTTATCTTGTATAGGTGCCCTAGAAACGATGATACCAAATCATTAAGTAGCATAGTTTTATGAATGTGGCGTATGATTTTGAAAAGTAACTATTGTAAGACTACTATAAAGCAAAAATATAAACAAGTGAGACAACCATATTAAACATTTAAAGCATTAGACTCCGTCTCCTCTTATCCTTAAGCATTAGATCTGCACAGTTTCTGTGGATTTTAAAATAAGTGGAGAAAAACAATCTTTAAAACTATCTTGGAGATCTATCCTTCAATTTCTTTTCGTAGTGTTGTTCAAAATAGTTAATTCAGGTCATCTTTTACAAAATTTTTCTCTCTGATTATCCTGAAGTGATTTGGCTCTGGCTCTACAACCATCCAGTAATGTACTCAAATTGTTGTTCCTAACCATTGAAGGTAGATGATGAGTGTTGAAAAGCCTATGATATAACCTGCAACAAGCTGAATCCCTAATACTCGCTCTCATGCATCTTCCTGCAGAGACTGAAGGACATTGCTTGGGAATAAGTCTTATGAAAAATGTTGTATCACATTTCTACTCTAGAAGTAGTCAGAAGTCGCAGGACAAGAGATTATAGTCCAACAAGTTTATTCGAAATCACAAGCTTGCAGAATGCTGCTCCTTTGTCAGGTGAAGTGACTATAACCTGGTGTCATGTGACTTCTGACTTTGTCCAGCCCAGTCCAACTCCAGCACCTCCACAGCATACCCTAGAAGTAGTAAAACCAAAAGCTTTGGTGCTAATGTATCCAACTGAAGATGATTTTCAGACGCAGTAGGTCTTGTCACTGAGCTCTGACATTGAGGCCCTGAGTTCAAGTCCAACGCTAGGGCAAGGAAGTTGCATTTGTAATGTGGCCAAACAGGTTGAATGCAAAATTGTAATTCCTTCCAACATCAGCTAATGTTAGGCAGTAAGAGTAAGGAGAGATTCCTGATTAACCATGTAATGGGAAAAAAATTGGAGCTTCTACTATCTACAACTCCAGGCTGCAACTCATATGTGAAAAGTACATGTTGCCAGAGTAATACTGGCTGCTTGGAAGACCAGATGGCTAGATGGCTGTGGTGCCAGCAGCATAGGGTTCAATCCCCATTCCAGCTGGGATAGATATGGAGCTTGCCTCCTTGTCTTATCTGTGGCATTGACTTGGACCTGCCTTTGTTCAGAAAACACAAGAAATGAAATATCCAACTGAGATAATTTGACACAGCACAAGCCTGGAATTGAACTCAGGACTTTGTGGTGTTTTGGCATATTATGTCTTGGCTAAGTGAGATGGTCAATCTAATTTTATTACGCACTTCAATAGGGTTCTTGTGATGCAATGGTAGTGTCCCTACCTTTGAGCCAGAAGGCCCAGGTTCAAGGCCTACGTGCTCCAGAGATATGTAATTGTACCCTGAAAAGGTTAATGAGAAATACCTCACATACCAGCTAAGTATATATTTTTATTTCATACTGTTTGATGGATGTCATACGTAGGCCAGACGAGGTAAGGACAGTAGACTGTCTTCTCAAAAACAATATTTGTGAACTACATCAGTTTTTAATGACAATTAACTGTGGCTACGTAGTTGCTAGTAGGCAATCTTTTTATTGCAGATTTTTGTTGAATTTAAATTTCATCATCTACAATGGTGGGATTCAAACCCATGTCCCCAGAATATTAGCCTGAGGTTCTGAATTATTGATCTGGAGACATTATCACTATGCCATCACTTCCTTATCAGTAGCTGCCAAGAATGTAATTAACGTCAAATGTAAATTACAGAAAGATGGCATGACAATCACTTTTCTACTTCAGCCTTATGTTCCTTCAAATGGTTATCCAGTGATATGTTGGTGTGTTGCAACTCAAACGTGTGAAATAAAAGCAAAATACTATGGATGCTGGAGATCTGAAATAAAAACCAAGTGCTGGAGAAATTCATCAGGTCTGGCATGTCTGTGGTGAGAGAAACACAGTTAACTCAGGCTCTGAAGAAGTGTCATGGTACTCTAAATGGTAACCCGATTTTCTCACCGCAGATGTGCCAGATTTGCTGAGTTTCTCCAGCACTTTTTGTTTATATTTCAAGTGTGTGAAGTGTTGCATGGCACCAGCCATTTTAATGAACGTATTTTGACAACGGAAAAGTATTATTTTTGTATACAATCTATAAACATTGCACAGACTCTTTGATAATGAAATAGTGCAAATTTGTCAATATACTGTTAAATGGTGTTTACAGAAACTAACAAAGTAGTGACTAAGGAAGAACAAGTTCAGATTGTTGATCTCAACACAATAAGTTGGTTGCAATGAATAATCTTACCCAGCTCATCATACTTGTTGCAGGCCTTGCTAAGGTTTACAGATGTACAGTTCTTCTCTACATTATTCCATTGGTTTCTTCTGCTGACTGTGGCCTAATGGAAGATAAATTACTATTAGAATGTAAGATGACAAGTCACTGCTCTCCATTTTTTGTAATCTCAATGTGCAATTTAGATAGAGGATTTTAAATTTGTTGTGTAATATGTTTGCTGAATTTAAAACCCCATGAACTTAACTGAAAAATAGATGGAATGTGAATGATTTTAAAGAATAACTTTTTAAGTCAGTTTCTCTGCAGATTTGAAAGGTAATTATGAAGAGATACATTTCTGTGAAATGTGCAGTGACAATAACACTTGTTTATAAAGGAACCTGACAGCTCTCGAGACCACAGAGTTATGCTGATTCATAAAAGAAAGAACAAAGAACTTTTGTTTATTAGAAGCAGATGATTCATAATTCGTTGTAAATCTTCACTCCAAATAGATATGTTTAGTTTTAAAAACCGAAAGAACTGAGGATACTGTAAATAAGGAACAAAAACAGAAATTGCTGGAAAAGCTCAGCAGGTCTGACAGCATCTACAAAGAAAAAATCAGAGTTAACGTTTCAGGTCCGGTGACCCTTCCTCTGATTTTTTCTTCGTAGATCCTGCCAGACCTGCTGACATTTTCCAGCAATTTCTGTTTTAGTCCATATTTAGTTTTAAACTGGGTTCATTTTTAAGGCTTTGAATGAATTCCATCAGTGCTCTTAAGAGTGATGATGCAAGCAGCTACTCAAACAGCTGAACAGGAGCTGGAACTTTTTGAGCAAAGACCCAATGAACTGCATGAAAACAGGAACAATTTAACCACAGAAGCAATTCTACTTTAGATCATGTATAGCTTTTGATCTTACTTGAAATAACTTCTTGCAGATTAAATTTTCAAAGTTACTTGTAGATTATTAGGAGCTACAAGAACGCTGTCCACCTCACTCTCCCTCAAATATACGGCCAGGATTACAAACCCGACTGGCTAAGTGATGTGTCAAATCCTTAAATGGCTTGTCATCCAAATTATTTACAGTTCTCATCCCAAAGTCTTTACCTTACTAAATCACTCCAGTCAACCTACTTTCAACTAAACATTCAGTGACATTCCCGAAACTTTCTTCTTCTTCCTAGTTGCTCACTTTCTGGATTGACTTGTTTTGAAAACTGTGGTGGCTGCTATATTTCTAGGGATACCACAACTGCAAATACTGCTGTGATTTTTAAATATTTTTGTCATGGTTTTTATGGAAACCACAGGATAGAATAAATTAGATGTCGTCATTAATTAATATCCATTTGTCAATATCATACAATATTGGGGAGGCAATGGCCTGGTGTTATTATCACTAGACTATTAATCCAGGTTCTGGGGACCTGATTTTGAATTCCACCATTGCAGGTGGTGGAATTTGAATTCAATAATTGAGAATCTAATAATGATCATGAAACCACTATAGGTTGTCAGAAAGAACCATCCCATTCACCAATGTCCTTCAAGGAAGGAAATCTGCCATCCTTTCCTAGACTGGCCTACATGTGACTCCAGACCCACAGCAATATGATTGACTCTCAAATGCCTTCTGAAATGGCCTAACAAGCTATTTGCCTGCCACAGATGCACCTGTCTATAACAGTAAGAGTGACAGACAGGATGAAGTCCCACCTTCACATTGTTAATACTTTATATCATGTTGTGTGGCACTATCATTGCAATAAATGGGGCAGGCTAAAAACAGATTTAGTAACTATAGACTGGGCATCCATGAGGCACTGTGGACCATTAGCAGCAGAATCATACTCCTACACAATCTGCAACCTTATGGCCCAGCATGTTTCCCATCCTACCATTACCATCAAGCCAGGGGATGAACCCTGGCTCAATGGAGAGTGCAGGAGGGCATGCCAGGAGCAGCACCAGGCATACCTAAAAACGAGGTGTCAACCTGGTGAAATTGCCAAACAGTACTACCCGTGTGCCGAGCAGTATAAGTAGCAAGTGGTAGACAGAGCTAAGTGATTACTCCACTAATAGATCAGATCTAAGCTTTGCAGTCCTGCCACATCATTCATGAATGGTGGTGGGCAATTAACTGACCCACTGGAAGGGGAGGTTCCACAAATATTCCTATCCTCAAAGATAGGGGAGCCCAACGCATCAGTGCAACAGAAAGCTGAAGCTTTTGTAACAATCTTCAGCCAGAAGTCCCAAGTGGATGATCCATCTGACCTCTTCCAGAGGTCCCCAATATCACAGGTGCCAGTCTCCAGCCAAATTTGATTGACTCCACATGACATCAAGAAATGGTTGGAGGCACTGGATACTGCAAGGGCTATGGGCCCTATAAACATTCTGGCAATAGTACTGAAGACCTGTGCTCCAGAACTTGCTGCTTTCCCAGCCAAGCTCTTCCAGTACAGATATAACACTGGCATCTACCTGACAAAGTGGAAAATTGTCCAGGTATATCCTGTACACAAAAAACAGGACAAATCTAACCCAGCCAATCACCATCCCATCAGTCTACTCTTGATCATCAGTAAAATAATGGAAGATATCATCATGGTGCTATCAAGCAGCACCTGCTCAGCAATAACCTGCTCAGTGACACACAGTTTGGGTTCTGCTAGGGCCACTCAGCTCCTGGTCTCATTACAGCTTTGGTTCAAACATGGACAAAGAGCTGAATTCCAGAGTGAGGTTGAGAGTGACAGTCCTTGGTATCAAGACACACATTTGACTGAGTATGGCATCAAGGGGCCCGAGCAAAACTGGAATCAACGGGAATCAGAGGCCAAGTGCTCCACTAGCTGGAGTTATACCTGATGCAAGGAAGATGGCTGTAGATGTTGGAGGTCAGTCATCTCAGCTCGAGGGCATCTTTGCAGGAATTACTCAAGGTAGTGTCCCAGGCCTAACTATTTTCAGCTTCTACATCAATAACTTTTCCCCCCATCATAAGGTAAAAAATGGGGATGTTTGTCAATAATTGCACCATATTGCACAATATTCAGCATCATTTGCGACTCCTCAGATACTGAAACAGTCCACGTTCAAATGCAACCTGGACAATATCCAGGCTTGGGCTGACAGAGGGCAAGTAACGTTTGCACTATACAAATCCAGGCAATGACCATCTCCCATAAGAGACAATCTAACCACCACCCCTTGACAATCAAGGTGTTACCATCTCCCACTATAAACATCTTGGGGGTCACCATTGATTAGAAACTGAACTGGACCAGGCATATAAATACAATAGCTACAAGAGCAGGTCAGAGGCAAGGAATACTGCAACAAGTATCTCACATCCTGACTCCTCAACACTTGTCCACCATCTACAAGACACATGTCAGGAGTGTGATGGAATACTCTCCGCTTGCCTGGATGAGTACAGCTCCAACAACACTCAAAGCCTGACACCATTTAGGACAAAGCAGTATGTTTGATTTGCCCTATATCTGCAAACATTTACTCCCTCCAACACCGACACTCAGTAGCAGCAGTGTGTACTATCTACAACATGCACTGAAAAATTTCATCAACGATCCTAAGGCAGCACCTTCCAAACCAAAGACCACTACCATCTAGAAGGACAAGAGGCTGCAGATTCATAGGAACAACACTACCTGCAAGTTCCCCTTCAAGCCACTCACTATCCTGACTTGGAAATATTTCACCATTCTTTCAGTGTTACTCGGTCAAAATCCTGGAATTCCCTTCCTAATGGCATTATGGGTCAACCTACAGCACAAGAAGGCAGCTCAGCACCGCTTTCTCATGGTCAACCAGGTATAGACAATAAATGTTGGCCAGCCAGCAATACCCACATCCCAAAAATTTTCTCCCCATGCAATGTAACTCGTACTATGCTGTTTGTGTGTTGTTCTGCATCCATTTATTAAACTGTAACACAAATTTGCTTATAACAGCATTATCCATGTGGCAGTGCAGTATACATTGAATCCTACCTTGCAGTAGGCAATCTGCAGTGCTAATGGAACTGCTTCTCTGTCACCATCAATGCCAAGCCTTTTACTCCCAGGTCCTAGATTGAATAAAAAAGAACCATTAAGTACAAGTTTTAGAATCCGCAAATCTAACATTAAGTTGACCTACTTATCCACTCTTCAGACTTTATTAAAATATAATTCATTTAGTAAACTTTCCTGCTGTGTCAGTCTAGTAATATTGTGATCTAAGACAACGATGGAGCCAGTTCTGCAACATTCAGGGAGTTACAGAGATGGATGATCACAATTGGTACAAGCATAACATAATAATGTGCTGTTAGCTCATGAGCCAAAATGCACTTCTTTGAGTTTCTGTAAAATGTACAGTTACACCCAGCAACACCTCAGCTGTTTCTGAAGAAGGGTCTAGGCCCGAAACGTCAGCCTTCCTGCTCCTCTGATGCTGCTTGGCCTGCTGTGTTCATCCAGCTCTACGCCTTGTTATCTCAACACCTCAGCTGTCCTGTTTTAACACATGGTTTTCCCTTGTGAATAGAAACAAGCATGCCTCAGCAAATTGGCTCCGACTTCATGTCAATCAACATTCTGCTTAATTTAACGTTTAATTTGTAAAGTTTATTACAATGCTGCTTGAAAGAATTTAAACTTGGTCTACATTTCCAAATGCATATTTTTGTTTTTAAAAATCATAATATTAAAGCAGCACATGATTGGATAATGATTTTGCATTTAGCTGAAAAGTTATCATTGCCTTAAAAACGTGGCAAAAGAGCATCCTGCGGCACTGTGTATTGTGCCATATTCAGCAGAAGTGGAGGACAGACATTCCATGCCTCTTCAAACCCCCGGGTTAGCTTGAAGTTCAGTGCAAGAACTCCTCCTTGGTTAATGTGTCAAAAAAATATTAATTGGGTGCCAACATCTTTCAAGATAGAACCATAACAAACTTTGTGGGTAGATAGGAGAAATAATTTTTACCAGATTCACTTAAAGAAAAGCAAACCTGAAGCTTTAATTGCTCTTGTGGCGGCAGATTGTCCCAGTTCGAGTGAATAAACAAAGACCTCGGATCGTTTCTCACCCCCTGCCAGGGTTAGCTGTTAAAACAATGTGCAATTCATCAGTTTTATTTCCATGCTTTGTGCATGTAAACAAGTTTTCCCTTGTATACTACTTGCTTGCCATGCAAACCGACCAAGGAAGAAGAATGTGGCAGTACTGTGAGTCATTGATTACATCTCAACATATTGTATATATTAATCAGAGGCTCAATATAGACTGATCAAGCAATTAATTATTTTGGCATGACTATAAAGACTACTGAAACAAAGTTTCTGTCACTATCATGAACTAAAATAAGTTGACCAGTCATTTATCGTGTGTAAGATGGGGAAGTTACATCAGACCATGAGTTCATTTATTCTTCCTGCAGGGTGGGTTCTTCAGATAAAGGAATTATTGAGCATTGAACTTTCATAACTGCTCAGCAGCTGCAGCATTTAACTTCGTAAATGACACATTTTGCTAAATGACAGACATCGTGCTGAGTAATAAACGTTGGCTAAGACAACTGGACAACCTTTTTGCTCTGCTTCAAATATTGTGAAAAGATCTTTGAGAAGTCAACTGGGAACACAGTGTGAACTCTCATTCAAACAACAGCATCATTGACAATGCTGTACTCCTTCTGCTTTGCACTGAAGAGTCAGAATAGAATATGAGACAACAAGATGCAGGGCTGGATGAACACAGCAGGCCAAGCAGCATCATAGGAGCATATGATGCTGCTTGGCCTGCTGTGTTCATCCAGCCCTGCACCTTGTTGTCTCGGATTCACCAGCATCTGCAGTTCCTACTATCTCTGATTCAAGAATAGAATATGCGCTCCTGTATCTTGAGTTTTGCTTGATTCACAATCCTCTGGCTCAAATGTGCATGAATGTGGGAGAAAGGAATTATGAAGAGGAGTAGGCTACTCAGGCCTCTACCATGCATGGTTTGGTGTCTCCACTCCACTTTCCTGTCTGCCTTCCAAAACCCTTGATTCCCCATCGATGAAAAATTAATCTAACTCAGCCTTGAAAACATTCATTGACCAAGCCTCCATCGCTCAGGAAAGTAGAATCAAAGGACTGACTCTTCAATCATTATTTATTTTGATTAGTTTTGGTTGTGGTATGTTGGATTCATTTATTGCTTATCCCTATTTATGTTGGGAAAGTGGTAGTGAGGCTTTGATGCATTGTGACTACTTATACAATTGAATAGATCACTAGGCCATCTAGAATAGATCATTTCACTATGGGATTACTTTGTGGGACACATATGCACTGCTTCTGGAATAGGGTAGCCAAAGGGTTATGAGGCTTCAATCCTCCCAAAAGGGCGTTGTGGTACAGACAACTAGTTTGTTCGAAACAATATATGAACCCTAAATCCTAGGAATATTAGAAGCAATGGTTGAGGTCAAAGGGGAATCTTACTTCAGCCTTGATTGATAATTGTCTCCTGTCTCAAAGGGAAACAAGCCAATTCTCCTCAGTGATTTCAAGGCCAGAATTATGTCTAATGTAAATCTCTGGAAAGTGTGATTGGCAAGATGAGTATAGGGAAAACAAATGGCAACAAAGTTAACCTCCTGACAAAATGCCTAATCAACGCCTATCATACAAACACACTGTTCTATCAGACAGACAAATGTAAGGTCTCAGGCAGCTCTTTCACACCAGACATTGGCACCTGTTCAACTAAGTCACCATTTGAGAAAAAGATGACAAAGAGGTTGGCATTACCCGTGCCAATGACAGCAGTTGATGACTGTTAGACCGACTGTCATCCATTCCAGTCTACCATCTCCATTAGCTCGGCCCAAAACCAGCATAACTGAATAACCTGCTCAGTCAGAACCTCCTAGACAAGCTGACAACACTCAATGAACAGAAAATGCATGGCACCTCATCTGATCTTGAAAACAATCATAAATAGCATTTGTGAGTACACGGAGTAACAATGAGCCCTTGTTGGAAGGAGCTGTTGTCAGAGACAAATGTCATCAATCAGCTCATCCTGCTGCACAATACTGTCTCATGCCTGTTGAGATCCAGACTGAGCCACTCGACAATATGGATCAATTCCCAGACTTGGGAGCTGTCTGTCAGTGAGTGCAGGCATCAACAATGAAATTCAGCATCGCCTCCAGTGTGTTAGTGCAGACTGAGAAACAAACAGAGTGTTTGATGACAAAGACCTCAAACCCGACACCAGGCTCATGAACTGCAGGGCAGCAGTCTCATCAGCCCTCCTGAATTATTTGGAGATATGGACAATATACAGCAGACTCCTCAAATCTCTTGAGAAACATTATCAGCATAACATCCTACAAATTCACTCACAAAATTAGTGTTCTGATACCAACGTCTTCTCAACGTCCCCAGTATTGACACAACTGGTCCCAAACAGACTGGTGCTTTGTATGGGCCATGCCTGACACAAGACTTCAGAAACAAGTCTCTACTCTGAGCCCGCAGTTACCAAGAGGGCAGAGGAAATGCCTCAACAATATCCTCAAATCCTCCCCAAAATAATTCCCCCACTAACCCATGGGAATCTCTTTTCCAAGACTCTATCCATGAAAGAACTAACAATTTCCAACATCTCAAACAAGCCCAGATGAAGAACAAGTGCAAGCAGCAGAAGGGATGTTTGAAAACATGAACATCGCAGCACCTCACTTCAGAAAATACCCTTTCCCCGAGTTGTGGCAGGGTGTGCAGATCCAAAATTGGACAATGTAGCCACCTCAGGAACCACACACCAAAATGGAAGAAAGTAATCCTCAATCGAGTGTGGATTAGACTAGAAACAGATTAGATAGTGTTGATAGATCTATTAATCAATGGTGGGATTTCTAGTCAGGACTTGTGGATCCTTCGACCACAACACAATCACCTTTTAATGCAACATTCCTTTTATCCACAAATAAATCCCTTGATTATTCACATAACACAACACTCGAGAGACCCAACACCCTGTCAATTTAAGCAATTCAGGAAATGCCACCAAAACTGCTTCATGTGATAACCCCAGGAATTCCCGATAGTCTGAGATTTTCTTTGGAAAAAGTCACAATGAACCACAAAGAAACCAACAAATCCTGCACAAAGGCACAGAAAACAAGTAAACGATTGAGGAGATACAACAGAAATGCAGATAAATTGATTAAAATAGCAATGTGGATTGTTTCCATTTACAGACCATCAAAACATAAAGTCAGCCAATGACCTCTGAATCTAACCTCACTGCCCTAATAACATAGTGACAGTAAAATAAGGCAAATGTGATGGCCCTAGAATGTAGATCTACCTCTGCTTGGTAAAGCTGGACCAACACTGGATAGGCAGCATTCCGGCAATAATAAAGGATCAGGTCACCCAGGATGGAAAGCTTCTCTTGCATTCTTTCTGCAGGCTCATTCTCAGACTTAGAAGGTTCCTACAAAGTAAGCAAAATAATATATTAGTAGCACAATACAGAAGGCTTTAAGTGATAGCAGTGAGATTCTGAAGAAATATTTTTGCTAATATTTTCGGAATTGTTGATAACTTGATTTCTGTCTGTAACTGTGTTCCTACTTGTCTCCCTACTGAAATTTTCCTCACTCCCTTTTGTCCACTATTCTTGTCACTGAGGAGATTCTCTGCTCTATGTGCTGCTGAACACACCAGGATCAGCTCATTGTACTGCCACCAATCAAACTTTCTACATTGGCTAAGGATCCTTCTTTGGTTTACATTGATCACAAGTGACTGGTAGCTTGCCATCTGCCAACAGCTCACATTAATTATTTGCAAAAATAACTAATAGGATTACAGGATTTAGGTCATATAACCAGGTAGCTGAATGATGTGGTACATCAGGGCAACTAAAGTCTCTTTTACACCGGCTTATTAAAATTTTATTCACTTGTTGCAGACATGAAGTAGGTAAGCCCTATCAATTGTAGATTACACTGCACTAGTAGGCAGCCCGCAATGTAAAGTTTCACATTGAGGTAAAGATCAATTTTCTTTCATTTTAAACATATATTTTTGTAAGTCAACTGTAGCATCTAAATATCAGCTCTCAGCAATTCATATGTTTCCCATATAAATTTTAGTAACTTGTGAGGTTTTTCATTTATCTCAAGTAACTCTTTTTGAAAAAGAAATGTTTGGCCAGCCTTGCACTAGTCTCAATGGGAAGCAGTGCTTGGCTTAACAACATACAGAGCTGAATCTTAGGTTTTTTTGGCTAAATGTGAGTTGTGTCAATTTTTTTTGGAGAGTTTCTTGCTGCAAGGCCTAGTCTGACCGAACTCGCAACATCACCCATCATGCCCCACGGTGTCTCTCATGTCCAATTTACACCCCTTCTTATCATGTACGTTTCCTGGAATTCACTTGCGCCTGCAACATTTTTAAAAGCTCTGTTAGTCCAGAGCTTCCCTGCACAGTCACTGATATTTGCCCCAGACATGGGAAACCGATACCCACTTTGTGAGCAGGGACCTGGATTAGCCATGGTACAAACCCTCTGCAGGGTTACAGGGATGGGGATGGGAGGGTGGGTTTGGGCAGCATGCTTTTTGCTGGCTCAGTGCAAACTCGATGGGTTGAATGGCCTCTTTCTGCACTATAGGGATTCTATGATTCTATACATTCATAGATGTGGACAACATGCACTGTGCTTTTTCTAAAGCTTGTTAGACAACTATCAAAAAACAAAGGCTCAGTCACCAGTCTTTGCTATCATTGTGTGAAAGGGAAACGAAATGACATGTTTCGGGCTTGAGGGCAATTTCCAAGAAAGGCAAAATGTCACAATCCAACTGAACTCATGACATTGAGAAAGGCACCTTGGGAGAGAAAATATGAGATAATGAAGAGAACCAAAATAAAACATCAGACTATTGTAAAATAATTGCAACAGACGTACTTGGACAGAGATAATTGTTAAAAGATATCGGTAGTAGCTGTGTGTTCCTTCTACTGGCCACTAGATTTGCACCACATTTGGTATGCAAATTATTGCCATGTCACTGTAGATAAATTCATTCGAGCTTCAATCTCTCATTAACTGCCACACTCACCATGTATGAACAGGGATAATTTAAAACCAGCAAGCAATATACAAGTAAAAGGAACTCAAGAAAATATATGAAAGAAGTAGCTCTTTTTTGACTGCAGGTTGCCGCACTGCAGAAGAAGCCAGATTCAGAAAAAAGGAATGTAAATGAGCAGGAAGGAACAATAAAATCCTAAGAATGACACAGGAAGTAATTCTGATATTAAATACACATACCCAGGATATTTGCACTTACCTGGCAAAGCAGAGTTGTTGGTAAGGTCAATAAGTCCAGAACATTTCGTTCATACCAGGAATCCAACATTCCAATGTAATGTGCAATATTATTGCTACTAACTTTGTCTGCTGTCTCAACTGAACTGATGTCCTAAAATAACAATAACCTCATGATGAACTAGTAAACATTCAAAATTAATAAGTACTTTTCATTTTTTAATTAAGTTTTTTTTTTAATCAAAGCTTTTCAAGTTGCACTCATCAGGATAAGTCACAAGAATACCAACTGGGGGAAAACCAACATTTATACTGTTTGAATGGAGATGCCAATACCTGATTTGAAATCTAAACATTGACTGTTAAATGCCAGGCTATCATCAGTAACTGCTGCATCAGTTACTCTCAAGTCAAATCTTTTAATACACTTAAGTAGATTGAAGAAAACAAATAGTTACCAGTTGTGTTGATGGTCTCTGCTGGTTATCTGGGAAGTGGTTTGTAAACTGTACCGGGCTTCTTAGTGAGTCTCTTTGTAAAGGAATATAGAAAAATTGCATCCTGAAGTATTTTGTGAGAAAGGGACATTTACTCTCTTGTAATCTGAAAGAAGAAATGATTATTATTAATTTGTGAAGGGTGAGCATAATATTTTGCTTCGATTCTAGTCTAGTTTGTGACTTTAGTTTGTTTATTAACTACTGTGACTTTTAACGTAGAGTACAATTTTATTTTCTCAGGTATGCATTATCTCCAAAATATTAACTCAACAATATTTTCTGTTTATACTTTGATAAGAACATGCTGTAACCCAAACTAAGACTTAATTATTCTGGGAATAATCATGTCATTGATGTGGCAAGAGATTAATTTCTAAATTAAAGAATTTATGTAGTCATATCATCAACATCAATGCGGTTGGCTTTTACACTTTGTAAGTCAGTCAGTCTCAGACAAAAATGCAAAAAGTTCTAAGAAAATAAAGAAGGCTCCAACGAAATAGAGCTGTCTAAGGGAAAAGTGGATTGTCAATAAGTATGATACTCTTCGGTTCTGCTATAACACGTGTTCCGACAACGCGAATTGGCTAAAACGTGACTGATGAATAGGGGAATGCCATTTCTAAAACACAAAATTGTGTTGGCTATAGTGCGATTCCATCGGTGCGTGGAGGAGGAGTACGCATCAACATCACATGATAGTTTCACGGGCTTTCTCCTGAGCATAGTGCCGAAAGAGTCTCCGCACCAACATCTGTGAGAGGCACAGTACTCTGTGATTTTCTTTTCCTTTTGCAAATTCTGCCATATTACCCACAAATATGTGAGGACAAGGTGACAAGAATGTTAGCAAGAAGGGTCCTGGTGATAAAATTGTGAGTAGTGAATGTAAAAGAAAGGCGATAACATTAGAAGAGAAGCTAGATGTTATAAAGCGTTTTGAGCGTAATGAGAGAATATGTGAATATAAACCGAAAGAACTGCAGATGCTGTAAATCAGGCACAAAAACAAAGGTGCTGGAGAAGCTCAACAGGTCTGGCAGTATGTGTGTGTGTGTGTCTGTGTGTGCGTGTGCGTGTGCGCGTCTGTGTCTGTGTGTGTGTCTGTGTGAGAACATGTGATATAGCTCGCATAACGGGAATAAAGGAGTCTACCTTACGCACCATTAGAGACAATGCGGAAAAGATTAAAGCAAGCTGTATTGCTGGGACAAGTCTAAGTGCTAGTAAATCTGTGAGGTCACGGACAAAGGAACTTGAGGAGATGAAGTGGCTTCTAAGTGTGTGGATAGAAGATCAAACGTAAAAGTGATCTGGGACCACCTTTCTCACCATAAAAGAGAAAGCTTTATCAATTTATGAAGATCTAACAAAAAAAGCTGAAAATCCTGCAGATGTGCCTGTCTTTAGTGCTAGGAGTGTCTGGTTTGCTGGTTTAGAGAACTGCTATGCTTTGCATAAAGTAAAGTTATGTGGTGAAGCTGCCAGTGCAGACAAGGAGCATGTGATGGCATTCCCTCCCATTGTCAAAGAATTAATTGATGAAGAAGGCTACAACTTAGATCAAATTTTCAATTTGTATGAGACTGGTTTATAGTGGAAACAAATGCGATCAAGAACCTATGTTTCTATGAATGAAGCCCATTTCTATGAACAAAGGTGGCAAAGGATCATATGACTGTGTGGATGGGTGCCAATGCCAGTGGAGACTTAAAGCTTAAGCCTGTGGAGGTGTGACACTCTGCCAACCTGCAAGCCTTGAAAGGTTACCTTAAGTATACTCTAGGCTTCTACTTTAGGTCAAGCAAAGGAGGTTGGATGAGGGGGGCAATTTTTTTCTGACCTTATTGTTGATGCTTTGAAAGATGTTTTTAGAAAGTATTGCAGGTAAAGAAATTTGGATTTCAAGATTCTCCTCATCCTGGATAAAGCACCAAGCCATATTCCAACAACTGGTAAGCTTTCTGAAAACATCAAAGTGCTATTTCTACCCCAAACACAACCTCTCTCCTTCAACCCGTGGACCAGGGTGCAAATAGTTTATTATTTAATATTTTATTTTATTTAATAATTATTTAATATTTAAAGTTTATTATTTAAGGTGCACATTTAAGAGGCTGTTTGCAGCCACTGAGGGGGATAAGGACAGTGTTCTTCAATTTTGGAAGAGCTTTAACATTCAAGAATGCAATTGACATTATCGTGGAGGCCTGGGGTGATGTCAATAAAAAATTGCCTGCATGCAGTTTGGCAGAAGCTTCTCTTAGATTTTTTCAAGATTTAAAAAGCTTTGATCTATCTGAGGAGCTCCCAAGAATCAAAGAACATTGTGTTGATTTTGCAAAGCAAGTTGTGAATTTGAAGCAGGGGAGAGTGAGGCTGTTGACGAGCTGCTTGAGTCCCACTGTGAAGACCTCTCTACAGCTGATCTACAACAACCTGTTGCTGAGGGGGAGGTGGACGCTGGAGATGAAGAAGATGAAGTCCAGGATGCAGCACCACGAGAGCTTTCCACTTCTGTTTTGTTTTCTATCCTGAGGAAAATTGAGAGGCAGTTGCAGCTCTTAGAGGACAATGATTATAATGCAGAACACAGCAGGGTAGCAGTTCATGTAATAAGATCTTATTTGGCACCCGATGAACAGCTTCTGCATGAAAGAAGAAAAAGGGCAAAGCAGCAGAAACTGGATGTCTTTTTTAAGCCAACCCCCAAGAAACATTCAGAAGACAATGAACCACAGCCATCCACTTCTGGATTAACTATTTTTCACCCTAACCTGTTTATGTACAAACATAAACAATCAAAATCAATTTACCTCATAATCCTGAATAAACTACAATAATGGAAAATTGATGACAAAATCCGGTTTGTGTGTTTCACTTGAGCGTGTGATTTCTCCCAAACTGACAAATCTTTAGATAGAGGATTGGATCTCAAAGCTGTATGACCAATAGGAAGGATATTCGTGGAGATCTTGTTGAAGTTGTTTGGTGGGTTTTTCCGTCAGGATGAAATAGAATAACCAAAGTAACATCCACCATCAACACTAATTGCCTCATTATATCCACAGCATTTTAACAGAGAAAAGCCTTGTCAGAGATAACTACCCCATTGTTCCTTTTCTTAATACTTCATCTCCTATTCTTGAATAAAATCACATGGTACTTATTTTACTGTACATTTTGCATGTGCCTGTTTTCATATCTAGGGGATATGGTGCATCACATGTATAAACCTAAATTCTATTAACTGTATTAATATGTGGATTAATCAGAATTACACAGTTTTCAGTGAATTTATCAATGAGGACATGTACATCCGCACTTTCCAGCCTCTTCCCATTTAAGAGATAGTCTGAAAATCTATTCCTCCTTCCAAAGTGGATAACCTCACATTTTTCCACATTATTTTCCATCTGACACACTCTTGCCTATTCACTAGACATATTGAAATCCTTCTGAAGCCTCTTTACATCTTCACCTAGCTTTGTACCATCTGCAGATTTGGAAATAGTACATTGGGTCTTCACCTCCAAATCATGGATAAATGTTGTTAACAGCTTGGGGTGGGGGGAGTGCTAATCCTTGCAGTACCTCAGTAGTCACAACTTGCCATTGCGGGAATGATTCAGTTATTCCTACTGTTTTCTGGCCATTAGCCAAACATTAATCTAACACGTTACAATATCTCCTCCCCCTTAAGCTTTAATTTGTAATGGACTTTATCAAACATTTTCTGGGATAGAGGGGAATGTAGAATTCAAAACACAAACAAAATATTATTGTATTCATTTGTTCATTGAACAAATTATTGAATAGCAGAGCAGCCTCAAGAGGCTGAATGACCTACTCGGCTCCTATTTCGAATGTCTGCACTGATTGGTAATCCTCTGCATTTCTGATAATTTTTGTGCAAGTTTTTTTTGCGTATTCTTCCTTGTTGTATTATGGTAACTAAAATGGTGCATATCACAGTGCTGAAGGGATGTAGTGTACCAAATGATAATTGACAAATTGTGGATTTAGTATTTCCAAAGCAGTTGGGATATATTGTAATGGATTTCTCAGAACCCAGAATCCGAGAACCAAACTGACCGTGACGCGTTTAATTGTAGTTCTGACTAAGTTGTTGGCTTCTCTCAGCTGTCTTTAACCAATGACCGGACTGGATTTTGAGAAGGCCTCTTACCTGAGATGGCTATAGGCTCTTGCGACTTTTCCTAGAACTTTGTCAGTACCAAAAACAACAATTCGCAGTGTCATGGTTTTACACTCATCCTCGAAGCTGAGATACGGTCTCCTTTTGAAGCACGTGCTTTGTTCTACGTGTCGTTCAAAGCGATGATTAAAGGTGGCGTGCTGTGGCAGGGAGTTTGAACGCCTGGACTTCATGGGAAGCTTACATTTGATCTCAGTGCAGCCCAAGCTTTCTGCTCGGCGAAGCGGTAAGGTACTCGATGACAAGGTGTAGCTGCTTTTGCTTAAGTTTGAGGAGGATTTGTTTAAATGGTATCTTGGATCAGCTTTGTTTGTAAGGCTATTCCTGGCTCTAAAGAAGTTCGATATTTTTTCTGTTAGTTTCTTTCCTACTCCACTGTGCTTTTCCTCTTTCTGGTCAGACATGCATGTTGTCTCGGGTGAACTTTCATCACCATCTTCTATGTACCCACTGTCCATACAGTCTGAGAGATTTGAGACAAATGATTTCATGTAATCTGTAGATGTTATAGATATTGTAGATATCATGGAATCTCGCTCATTTTCAATTGCATCCTCCCCGCCTTCCTCCTCAAATTCCTCTTCATCGTTAATATTGTCAGTCAAGGGCAGTAATGCTGCGTCAGGAATCTCACACTCTTTCAGGAGAACTTCACGTAAAACATCTAAAATAAAGTAACAACATCCGGTCACAGCAAGGCATACTAATGCTCTAATTAACGTTTCTGATTCAAGACCATCTCTTTGCTGTCTGCTTACCAAAATTATCTTTGTCCCAATGGTAGCTATAGCAATTGGCAACTGGCAATTGAATTGTTTGCAGCTTCGCTGTCACATTCTGGCCTATTGAAGATTACAAGAAGGCATTAGGCATTAGCCATTTTATTTCACATAATAAGAAGTGACAATTAAATGCTAAGTTGTAAAGTTATTTGGGTTCCAAGTAACGCTCCTTCAAAACGCCTATTCTCACAAAGACAGTGCCACGTTAACACAAAGTAAAATGGAATCACCAGGTGGAATTTTGCGAGACTGCAGTCACACATGTAGCAACTAACACACTGAAGACTTGCAGGTATATCACCTCTTCACAGCGGATCAAAACTAAACAGCAGCAACAACATTATAAGGGCCATTAATTGAGAAAAAATGTTTTAGACAATTCACTGACAAATATCAGACAAAAATTGCCATTGAGCTAAGAATAAAGGTACTAGGAAGGGTTGGCTAAAAGCCAGATTCATCAAAGATAGCCAGGTTTAAGTTTCCTGTAAGTCATTTGCTGTGAAGAAGCCTTCATGGGGATAAAACATTCAGCCTAATATCAAAATGAATACATCCGTGGACTTTCTTCCTAAGATTGCACTTAAAATTCCACCTTCTAGACTTAGAACAAGAGATTTTCATCTCATTGCCAATACTTAGAGACTTTAATAAAACAATTTCCCTTAATGTTAATCTTGGCTCAAGTGATTTACACAGGTGAAATTCTGTCCAAAGCTAACCCAAGGATGGGCAGGGATAAAGATGGTGGGAATCAGAGAACAAAATCCAGTCAAGTTTCCTCCTGGGAGTGGGGTACAAGGCAGTGTGGCACTTAATTGTGTGGGAATTGTGCGAGAAGTGAAATCTCAACAGCAGCATGAAAACGAGGAAGTCAGTTGGCGGAGGATTAAAAGTGGATTGTGACTCTCGACAGCAATGCATTTACAAGCCTGGCACATTTTATATGGCTGGGGGTACTGAGGACAATAGCAGAGGGGAACTGGAGCAACAGTGCACCCTTGGAGTGCCCTGTGATGCTCCATCCTGGGACTGCTGCCTGGCCCCCTGACTCCAGGAGAAGAAGGGGCACCTGGAGGCAGATGGGTGTGGAGGAGGATGGCATCACTGACGTGCGGGCCACTGTAGTTCTGTGTTCAGCCACTTGGTGCACCAGCTAACAGGATGCCCACGTGGGTGGGAGAGATTAAGTGACAACAGGTCCAGCTTCAAATCCAGGAGATCCCACTAGCTTACGGGGATGTGGCGGTTCCCAAAAGGCATCTGGACTTTTGGTCCCATGAGGTAACAACATGATCAGCAGCTTCCTGCCCGAAGCTCCTGCATGACTGGCCAGGCCTCCCTTCCTGCCCGAAGCTCCTGCATGAATGGCCAGGCCTCCCTTCCTGCCCGAAGCTCCTGCATGATTGGCCAGGCCTCCCAGGACCAACGCTGCTAAGTCTGGCTGCTCTGTGTAGTCCCAAGCGGAATCCAGCTCCCCTTCAGTCCTGCTGCCAGAAGATTCCCCCCATATGGATTTATGGCCCAGTGGATGACAGTGCAATGAGAATCTCATGGTGTGGTTGTCTTTTACTCGAGGCAAAATTTAACTTTGTTGCGCTTACTAACATGGACCCAATAACCAATTCAGTTGGGGTTTGTGATCTGTATGAGCACTGACCTTCACAGAGGCCCTAGCAGTTCCAGGGATAGGCAAATGCCCAATTTTAGTATTGTAATGGGGTTCCTGCATCTATTTTCAACCCTGCCCCCCAGTTACAGTCAGTTAGATTGTTGGAACATGCACTGTGCAAGATTCACCCAGTACTTCAAGGTCATGAAAAAGATCTAGGAGTAGAATTTGGCCACTCAGCCCATCAGGTCTGCTCCACCAGTCAATCATGGTTGATATGTTTCTCAAACCTATTCTCCTACCTTCTTCCCGTAACCCTTGACCTACTTACCAACCAAGAACAGATCTGTCTGCAATACACTCAATGACTTGGCCTCCACAGCCCTCTGCAGCAATGAGTTCCACAGATTCATTGCCCTCTGGCTGAAGAAATTCTTCCTCATCTCAGTTCTAAAGGGTCATCCCTTCAATCTGAGGCTGTGTCCTCAGGTCCCAGTCTGTTCTATTAGTGGAAACATCTTCTCCACGTCCATTGTATCCAGGACTGTCAGTATTCTGTAAGTTTCAATCAGATCCCTCTCTCATCCTTCTAAACTCCATTGAATACAGACCCAGAGTCCTCATTCACACCTCATATGACAAGCCCTTCATCCTAGAATCATTCTTGTAAATCTCCTTTGCACCCCACTCCCATCAATTCCAGCACATCCTTCCTTAGACACAGGGCCCAAAACTGCTCACAATATTCCAAGATAACTCTGATGCTGCCTGGCCTGCTGTGTTCATCCAACTCTACACCTTGTTATCTCAGACTCCAGCATCGGCAGTTCCTACTATCTCTCAGTATTTCAAATGCAGTTTGACCAGAGCCTTATACAGGCTCAGCAGTACATCCTCACACTTGCATTTTAGCCTTCTTGAAATGAATGCTAACCTTGCATTTACCCTCCTAACTGCCAACTGAGCCTGCATGTTAACCTTAAGAGAATCCTGAATTAGGACTCCTGAATCCCTATATGCTTCAGATTTCTGAAGCCTTTCTCCATTTAGAAAATAGTCCATGCTTCTATTCTTCCTACCAAAGTGCATGATCTCATACTTTCCCACACTGTATTCCACCTGCCACTTCTGCCCACTTTCCTAGCCTGTCTGAGCCTTCTGCTGCCTCTCTGTTTCCTCAATACTACCTGCCCCTCCACCTATCTTTGTGTCACCTGCAAACTTAGCAACAAAGCCCTCAGTTCTTTTGTCCAGATCATTCCAAAATCACGGCCTCAAACCTTTGTGGTGTTTTGTTTACTTTTGTGTGGAAACAGAAATGGAGCAGGAGGCTGCTATCCAACTGGAACAAATGCAGCTGCTTATAGCCCCAGCTCCCACCTCCTGGCCGTTCCCAGGTATATCTGAGGTTTGAGGCTGCTGGCTAAAACTGATTGCAATCCAGACCAATAAGTGTACTGTGCCATGGTGCTCAACTGTCACCATGACATACTTGGACCACATTGGAATTACACCCAGTTTCAGGTACTTTCTGATTGTCAACTCTATTGAAACTAGTTTCGAACCCTTGAGAGAAGTGAAACTGTTTCCCAGCTGCAGGATTAATGAGCAACTCAAGGGTATAGTACACCAGCACCCTCTCGTGGCTGCTCAGGGTAATATCAGGTGCTATAACTTTAACCTTGTGTAAGACAGTTTAAAAGGAAATTAATTATCTGTTCCACTAAATTACAGAAATGACTTCTTAATTACCATTTTGAACACTCAATTACTAATGATCCATAATCTATTTCTGAGTCCTAATTTGTTTTCACACAACTGGGAATTTCAAATAATTCATTACATAAGTTCACACAGGTGTTATTCCTACTTGTTATTGCTGAATGCAGGAAAACCTAGCACATCAAGTCCATGCCAAATAGATGAGGAATGAGTGTGTTGCAGGATGGCATTTTCAGCTGTTCATACAAATCGATGTGGTCTCAATGCAGAGAGTCAGAAATAGCCTCTGTGTGTATATCAACAACATAAATGTAGGACTAAAGTGAAATCAAATCTTCGACTTGAAAGAAAACTGGCATATGATGAACTAAGACAGTCTTAACACAGTAACACAGCTGATACCTAACACAGCATGCAACATTTAAACATGCGCATTACAGCCTTGTGATATTGTTTAATATTCAATCTCTGAGTCAAAAAAAAATCAATCTGCCATTACACGACCCCTGAAGCTACAGTGAAGGACTGTTCCACATTTTAAGCAAGACAGTTGCTCCAAACCCTTCTCTCCTGAAGTCAGTAAATCCTTGCTACATCCACCCCTGTCTGCCATTATTGTACCCAGGTAGCAATTCATCACATCTGATTCTAGGCAGTTGAGTGTTAGCAAGCTGTTCACTTGGTGCTGGGGAGATGGTTGGGGGAGGGTATGGAGATCACAGCCAAGCCTGGCTATATCTTCTAAAATAAAACAAAATAGTGTGGTTGCTGAAACCTAAAACAAAAACAGAACTTACTGAAGAAACTCAGCTGGTCAGGCACCATCTGAAGAGACAGACAGCAGAGGTAACATTTCAAGTCCAGTGGCCCTTCAGAAGAAATAGTTCTGAAGAAGGGTCATTGGACTTGAAATGTTAAACTCTGCTTTCTCTCTCCACAGATGCTGCCAGAGCTGCTGAGTTTTCCTAGCAATTCCTGACCTTGTTTCTGGCCATATCCTCATCTGTTTGTACAACAAGTACTTTCCAAATTTCACATTCCAAGTTTGGACCGGCACTCGGAATTCTGGCTTTCACTCCTCTTTCCTGGGGTGAGTGAAACCAATTGCTGTATCCTTATTGCTGCATTTTAATGGCAGAGGGCATCTAACCCAGCACTTGTCAAGGACTGAAATCTAAATAAAGTCTGACTGTGCGATTGGTTATAATTTTTACTTGAGCAAGTCTTGTTTTTATGTATGTGCCAGATAAAATCTCACCAGAATCATTACAATGTTGAACAGAAGACATTATGCGAACATCACATGACACTGATTTTAACTGGCAGGGTTGGCATTGAAACTGACTAGAGGAAGGTTTACACCAATACATTTCAGAAATATCTAAAAGGAGTTATTTCACACCACGAACACTGAAGCTACAACAACAGAAAATTGGTGCCATTTCCTTCCATTGCCTCATCCCGCTGCCTTGGGAAAGCAGCCAAAATAATTGAAAATCCTTCCCACCCCAGTTATACTCTCTTCCAGCCTCTTTTGTCGAGCAGAAAATACAAAACTTTGAAAAGCACAAACTGATAGGTTTAAGAGCAGCTTCTTCCCCGCTGTTATCAGACTTATGAATAGACCTCTCATATACGAGAGTCGATCTTTCCTTGCACCTTCTCTGTGGCTGTAACACTATATTGTGCATTCTGTTCTATTACCCTAAAGTACTTATCCAGGGAATGATTTTTTAGGTTAGCACGCAAAACAATACTTCTTACTGTATCTCGGTACATGTAACAATAATAAATCAAACCAAATCAAAGTTGGCATGAAACCTGGAAGTAATGATCAGCAGAAAAACAAATGAAAAAGAAATATATGAGAGGAACTGGAATCTGAATCTGGTCGTGCAAGTAATAGAAGGTTGTCAGATTTTGTTTCTGTTTAAAAATTAAATCACCTGAAGGGGGAGCAAATGGAGTTGTGGTAAGGTCACGAGCCTTGTAGTCCAAAGGAACCAGCCTAAATATTGGGAAAGGACCTGGGTTTGAATCTTACTGGAGCAGTACAATTAATATAAAATCTGGAATTGAAAACTAGACTCGGTAATGGCGACAATTAAACTGCCAACAATTGTCATAAAAACCCAATCACCATCACTGACCAGAGTTTAGGGAGGGAAATCTGCCATCCTTACATGGTCTGACCTAAGTGTGGCTTCAGATCTATGTCTACATCCAGTCACCTTTTACTGCCCTCTGAATTGGGGTAGCAAGTCATTCAGTTCAAGGAATAATGGGGACAGGCACCAACTTAGGGATTGTCAATGAGATCTACACCCCAGACAAAAATTTTAAAATGTTTTGTTAGTGGTTCCATTACCATGAATTAATCAGCATAGACTGAACGTACATTCTCACAAAAATGGGAAACCCTTGGAAAACTGCGTCATTTGATGAAAAAAACAACACAACAAACATTGGAAGTACCACTCAGATCCACCACCACCTGAAGATACAAAGACAGTTTAATGTTTGATCCTAGCCTGGACTTTCTAACCAGTGTGATATTCACACCCACTGTTAGCCTTTCATTATGAAAAATATTAATGCACACGGTAAAGTAATGCCAATCAGAAACTCTTTGGATCTTTTTCTTTATTCAGATGTTGACCTCCTCCTGTGTAATCCCAGCCTAGGTTTTGTATTCAGGGTGTTGCCATTCAGCATTTCTGCTGAGCTCTGTTCAGAAAAGGGTTTGGAGCATCAACATTCCGCGTGAACAAACAAATAATACCTGTTTCTGGGAGGAGTCCAAACTGCTGCTTTATCTCCTCTAATTTGCTCACTAAATATTCCTTGGCTACAGCAGGATCCTCCATGGTTGCTGCGATTTCCATGACATCAGAACAACTTGAGAAGATGTCCAGAAGTTCATCTGCAGCTTTGGACTAAGAAAAAGCAGAACAGATTTATTGTAGACTTCTAACCTGTATTTGTAATTTTGAGCAGCGGTAGAATTTAAAACCATTTAATGTCATGGCAAAATTCATCTGACAGTTTGGGTAGATGTAAAAGATCCTCTAACGTTATCCAAAAATAAACAGGAGATTACTCCCAAGGTGTTGGCCACTGTTTCTCCTTCAGTTGGCAGCAGTGAAATAGATTACTTGGTCATCTGTCACATTGCCATTTACAGGATCCTGTCTTGTGCAGATTAGCTGCCTGATTGCCTACAATACAAGGTAGGAATACACTGGTAAGAGCACCAATTGGCTGTGAAAAACTTTGGATGACTACAGGGTATGGAAGGTGCTGTATAAATACATCTTATTTCTTTCGGACAAAATTTATAGATTTTCTGTTCAGAATCACTGCAAAGTCTGTGTACATGTGACCTTTAAACAGCTGGAGACTCACTCACATCAAGACAAGAAACAGTGCCCTGGATTTGTGGCTAACACAAATGAGTGACTTTTGTTCTTGTTTTGATCGTTGGTATTTGTGTTATTAACTTGAGACACAGTAAATGTTGAACTGACTCAATATCCTGTTAATTAAGGAATTGTGATTAAATTATTTGGTTGGATAAAACATGTAACAATGAAATTTTGCTGTTGGCCTCAAGGGTTGATTTTTTTTTAAAAACACCATAATTTAATCATTGAAGAATCACAGAATGCTACAGGACATAAGACACATTCAGCTTGTTGTGCGCATGCTGGTTCTCAATATTCAAGACCAATTCAGCCAAGCCAAGCATTCCCCCACTCTTTCTTCACAGCCTTGCATTTTTTTTCTCTTCAGAAAATTATGTAATTCTTAGACAGTGTGTTCTGGATCCTAACTATTCACTGCTTTAAAAACAAACCTTTTCCTCCTGACACTTTTGATTTTTTTGCCTTCATTACCAATCACTGTCTCTTGATTCTTGACCCTCTGTCAAGGGGAACAGCTTCTCCCTGTATATTCTGTTGAGATCTCTCATGATTTTGACCACCTCCATCAAATCTGCTCTCAGTCTTTAATTCTCTCAGGAGAACAATCTTGCAACTTGTCCCTGTCACTGGAGTCTGTCATCCCCAGAACTATTCCTATGAAGCCTGAGGGAAATTGGCGTCCCCATTAAACCATTGTTCACTTAGCATTCCATATTTGCTATTTCCCATGCAGCAGTGAGATCTGAATTAACTAGGCTTATGCAAATATAAACAGTTCACGAGTTTCTGAAACTGGAGGAGAGGTTCTAAGAATCACTGAGGTTATGATTCAGATCAAAGATTTATCAGATACCAGCTTACCCCATGTGGTGTAATGAAAAATAAGAAGGTTCTGTTCTTAGAAGGAAGATGGAGATGGGCAAAGGGACAACAGTCATTTGTGCCATGAGGAGCTGTCCCAAGGCCAGTGGATAATAGGGGGAGGCAGCAAGGATGACCAGCCCCTAAAATAAGGACAGAAGGGAGGACAGGGCAAGAAGATCCAGGGAGGTGAACCACACCATCGCCCTGAGAGAAGACTGGGAGTTCCCCTACATCAGCCCAAGAGAAGAACAAAGACTGTTGATGTGGAAACCGCCAAAGCCTACCACAGAAAAACTGCAAGACATCAGGGATGTGGGAGTGCACTGCCTTTACACCTCCATTTTAGAACAGATTCAGGATCAATAAAGAATTTTTATCTGTCACACTTCAGTGTGTATATTTCCTTTCTTTGCTTTAATAAACTCAGGTACCATATCTCAATTGCTACTCCTCAATAAACTATTAGAAAACATCTACAAATTTCCAATTGTCTATATTAGGTAACTGTGATCACAAACCCTGTACAATCCACTCTGCACCCTTTCGAAAGCGTACACAACAATAGTGGTCCCTAGAATTGGACCCTGTACACCTGGAGAGGCTGAACAAGTGTTTTATAGATTTTCACTGTAACATTCTCAACTTACTTTCCATAATAGGTTCCATATGACTTATTAATCATAAGTAGCTCAGTTGGCTGAATTGCTGGTTTGTGATGCAGATGAAATCTACTGGAGAACCTACACCCTGCTGGCCAGTTAGAGGCCAGCATCTACTCATTGCAGTCAATGCCACCAGGAGGAATGGTGTTAACTGTTGATATTGCACCTAGCAGAGGACTGGGATCAGCAAGGGTTCCAGGCCACATTCATAGCAGCTTGGGAATTGTGGGCTGAAGACTGTGAAAGGAAAGAGGAGGGAGTCACGGGTAAGGGTAGGGGGATGGCATTCAGTGGGCCCCTTCCCCAGCTTCCTGATTCTAGGTCCCTCGATTAGGCACTTAGTGCCTGACAATGAGTGAATTTGGGGAACCAGCAAGCAAACAGGCCAGGGCAGAGGGTAAGGCCTGAAAATAGGCCTCAGTTAGTGGTGGAGTGGGAAGGCTATCCACAGGCAGGAAGATGGTGAGGTCTTCACCCAGCCCTCTCCCACACAATTAAATCCATCCTCTGTATCCCTACCCACTGCCTCAGAGGAGGGCATTAAATTCCACCCTTCAATTTCTATTGCCTCACCTCATTCTGCCAACCAAGGTGTATTCCTTCACACTTCGTTGCAATAAATTTCATCTGCTACCTGTCTGCCTATTACACCCGCCTTTGTGATGCTAAAATGATCCTGCTTTCAAGTTCTGCCCCACCTCTAAATTCTGAAATTGTGCTCTGCAAATCCAACTCCAGGTCTGTAACAGAGATCAGGGAAAACAGTATTCCAAGTCCAGATCTGTGGGCATCCCAAAGTAACTAGCAAAGCACCACCACCCCCTGTTTTCTGTCACTCAGTCAGCTTCGTATCTATTTGGACATTGTCCCTTTAATTCATGAGCTTTGACTGTGAATCAGAACACGTTCATTAATATTAACGGGGAGTTTCCTTACCTCAAGAACATTTTGAATGTCATTCAAACTATATTTGACACCAAAAACAGCCTGGTACATGTGCTTAATCAGGGTGATGTAAGAGGTTCCCAGAGACTGTTTGTTGTTGCTGATCCGCTCGGCAACTGACAGAAACTCACTGGATACTTCAGTGGGATTCAGTAACAGTACCGTTCTAAGAAAAATAAGAAGAAACAAATTTAAAGTCACTGGTACAAACACAATCACTGCTACCGTAAAGCCTTTGAAGAATAAATTCAGCCCAACTTCCTTTATTTTGGCAACAAATCTGGTTGCACTGCTTGTTTTCTGAAGGGAGGGATAATCAATATTCCGAGTTTCTTGTGGACTGGATCTCACAGTGGGCCAACATTCCGTCTTTTCACCAAACTTCTGCTCTGGAAAGTGTTGAGCTTGAAGATGGGATGGTGGAGTCCACAGGCCTCACTGCCTTCTGCCTCTGCCTGGATTAAGGCCAGAACAGGAAGACCCATGCTCGGCCTTCCCACCCCACTGCCGAGCGAGGCCCTAAAGTAGCAACTTAATGATGGTCTAAGAGTCCCAGCCATTGAGATGAATCCAGTTACCAGAGGGCCCATTGCCAGAAAGCCAGAAATCAGTCATTCCCTGTCATTTTGCCCAGTTGGGTCACTTAAGGAGCAGAGGGCAGGTTTGCTGTGTAAAGACAAAGGAAAGAAGGCAGGCAGCCTTTTAAAGTCAGAGTCAACTGCAGACTCTCCACCTTGGAGCTTTTAGCAGGATTGTGTGGCATGTTATGGGGAGAAAGGGAATCCTAAAGTGGATGTATCCACTCTTCAACTTTTTAAAATGTAAGATGTAAGAATGACCTTTGAAGCCTCAGAGTGTGTGCGCATGTGTGTGTGTGTCTGTGTGTGTGTGTATCAGTGTCTCTCTGTCTGTGTTTGTGTATCTGTGTCTGTGTGTGTGTATCAGTGTGTCTGCCTGTGTGTGTGTGGAGGTGTATGTGTGTATCTGTGTGTGATTGTGAGAAAGAGGGGACTGAGTGGTTGGCTTAGTGGAGAGGGGTGTTTGCCTCTTCCTCTGGAGGCCACCAGGAGGCAGTGAAACTGTTCCTGACACCCACAGGGAACAGGAGGCCAGCTGGGAAATCTCAGTCACCCGCAATCAGCCTTTAATTTGCTACATGATGCTCACAGACCAATAGACCTGCCCTTCTCCCACCCTCTCATTCCCACTTTCAGGAAAGTGGCTTAGGGGTGGGAAGCAAACACACAGGCCAACAGTGTTAAGTTCCATGCCCATCCACCTCAGGCTAAAAATTCCTGTTAACTTGTTTTCTTTTGCCATAGTTTCTAAACAGATGCAATGCAAATGGGAGAAATGATTAATTATCAATCAACTCTAGTCATAATGAACACGCATTCTTCGGGAACTGTTTTTGCACACTTTTACACACTTTTCTGCATAGCTGCCAGACCTACTGAGTAATGCAATTTATTGCCAGTAGGCGTCAGGATTGAGACAAACAATCTATGGACCCTGAGCAACAGTAAGAACTGCTGATGCTGGAGTCAGAGATAACAATCAGTGTAGAGCTGGAAGAGCACAGCAGGCCAGGCAGCATCAGAGGAGCAGGAAAGCTGACGTTTCGGTTC